TGATACTTCTTATTTTCCTATAAATAGTAGTTCACAATCTAGTTTGGATTAATACCAACTTAATAGTATGCAGAACTTTCGCACCTATATTGCTCTGTTCTCTCCCCACCTTCTGTGCTGTTATTCTCATATAAATTATATCTTTATATGGCTTTATATGGCTTTATATGGTTGTGTATCCATCAAAACAGATTTTTAGTTATTGCTTTAAATCAGATAGAAGAATAAAGAATTACAAAGAAAAATACAATTATATTGTACTATGTTTATTATAAGTGCGTAATTATAAGTACACATCTTTATTGGTATTCTTTATATTGTCATGTGGATTCAAGTTACTGTCTAATATCCTTTGATTTCAGCCTGAAGGGTATTTATGGTAAGACAGGTTTGCTATCAATAAATTTTCTCAGTTTTTATTTATCAAGAATGTCTTAATTTCTTCTCCTGTTGTTGGATATAGTATTCTTGGTTAGCAGTCTTTTTCTTTCAGTACTTTGAATATTTCATCCTGCTACCTTCTGCTCTCCATGGTTTTTGATGAGAAATTGGCTCTTAATCTTGTTGAGAATTCCTTGTATCTGATAAGTCACTTTTCCTGCTGTTAAGATTCTCTCTGTCTTTGGCTTTTACAGTATGATTATGATTTATTTAGTTGTGTATTTCTGTAAGTTTGACCTAACTATAGGTCAGTGAGCTTCTTGAAAGTGTAAAGTCATGTTTTTATTAAATATAGGAAGGTTTCAGCCATTATTTCTTCAAACGTTCTTTCTGCCTTTTTATCTATCTCTTCTCACCTTGTGGGACTCCCACCATGTACATGTTGATGTGTTTAATGGTGCCCCACTGGTCTTTGAGGCTCTGTTCATTTTCAACATTCTTTTTTAGTTTCGTTCCTCAGACTGGATAATCTCAATAGACCTGTCTAAAAGTTCATAGATTCTTTCTTCTGCCTGCACAAATCGGGTGTTGAGATCTTTTACTGAGTGTTTCATTTCAGTTTTGTTCTTTTCAAGTCCAGAATTTCGATTTGGTTCCTTTTTATAATTTCTACCTCTTTATTGGTATTCTCTACTTGGTGAGACATCATTCTCCTGGTTTCTGTCAGTTCTTTGTCTATGGTTTCCTTTATATTGTTGAGGTTTTTTTGTTTGTTTGAGACAGGGTCTCACTCTGTCACCCAGGCTAGAATGCAGCGGTATCATCATAGCTCACTGCAACCTCAAACTCCTGGGCTCAAGTGATCCTCCTGCCTCAGCCTCCCGAGTAGCTGGTGGCCACAGGTGCCACCATGCCTGGCTAATTTTTCTGTGGAGATGGGATCTCGCTCTTGCTCAGGCTGGTCTCAAACTCCTGGCCTCAAGCACTCTCCCACCTCTGCCTCCCAAAATGCTAGAATTACAAGCATGATCCACTACACCCATGCTTTACTTTAATTCTGAGCATATTTAAGACAGTTGATTTAAAGTTTTATCTAGTGAGTTCAATGTCTGGGCTTCCTCAGAGACAGTTGCTGTTAATTTCCTTTTTTTCCTGTGAATGAGCCATATTCTTTTGTATCTTTGCATGCCTTGTCATTTTTTGTTGAAAACTTGACATTTTGACTATTGTAACACAGTAACTCAGGAAATCAGATTCTTCCACTACCCCTACTTGTTGTGGGTTGTACTTGTTTGTTTAGTGACTTTTCTAAACTATTTTTGTAAAGACTATATTATCTTATTGAGTGTGGTCACACTGGCCTCTGTTCTTTTAGCTTTAGTGGTCAACTGATGATTTGATAGATATTAAACATATAGAGCCAAAAAGAAAAAAAGAAAGGAAAATTTCCCTGGGCCTTGCAGAATGGCTGTGTTGGGGCACTCCTTCGATGCTTAGCCAGGCCTTTTGCAACTCTACCTTATCCTTCACTTTCCGATGATATGGAGCCAAAAGATGAGCCAGAGGTGACAGCTGAGGATCTTCTCAGGTCCTTCCTCAGCATGCTTCTAGCCTTGGGCACGCGTGTGGCCTTCTAGATTCTCTGGTTTACATAAGAGCTTTTCAAAGCCTTTATTTTCCCCCTTGTATCTCCTTCACTATCCTCTTCCTTTTCAGGCTTTGTGGTTTTCATTAGCTTTTTATTGGAACTCAAGAGTTCCCTAAGTATTGGTCCTGACAGTTTTTCCCAGCTTACTTGTGTTTGTGGAGGGGCAGACTTTTGGGACTCCCCGCTACTCCATTTTCATTGATGTCGCTCCCAGATATGGACGTTTTGGGAGTTATTTTGGTACTGATAGATTGCCATCTAAAAAGAATAAACTATTTTCAGTGCTAACAGCAATGCATTTCCTCACAACTGTGTCAAAATTCATTGTTATAGATTTTTAATTTTTGATTATTATTGAATAATATGTCATAGTCATATTGAGTTTAATTTCTTTCACTGTTGTTAAGTTTGAACCCTTGTTGAGTTAGTGTTCGTATTCATAAACTTCCGTTTCCTTTGATCATTAGACTCTTTAGCCTTTCATCTGCATTGCAGTTTATCTGAGCCTGAGCCTGATCCAACAGGAGACATCTGTGCATATGCCATGGCCCCTCTTGGCTGGAGATGGACTGCTCCTCATGCTGGAGGAGGCTTGTTGGGCCAGCCCCAGGGTCTCTTTAAATCACTTACTCATTCAACAGAAATGCACAGATCCCTACCATGTGCCAGATCTGTGCTGGCACTTGGGGACCAGACATCCTGCCCCACCCCTGTGAGCAAACAGCTGTTCTTACAGGGTGACACCAAGTAAGCAAGACATGAGGGACATCTTAGAACATAGCTTTTCTGCTAAGCTGTACTGTTTTTAATTTTGTATGGGTTTAAAAAAAATGTTGATGTTGCTTATCATGTCCTTGAAATGAGAAGTCAGATTGTGTCCCCTTCACCTTTGCAGCTTGACCTTGGTGGTACCACAGTGCTTGGTCCTCAAGGTGGACCTGGAGGAGGAATCCCTCCTGGACACTGTTGGGCCCAGGCCCTCCTCTCTGGGATACTTAGGGGTTCAGAGGCTTTAGCTTTCTTCTGGAGGTTCACCTCACCTGACAGGAAGGCAGTTCTTTCCAGGACAGAACATCCCATGGTTTGCAGATGGCCAGGCCCCAGGAGACTCTGCTGCCCCTCCCTCGGAGAGAAGGTAGGCGTCCCTCACCTGCACAGGTAGAGCCCACATGAAGTTTGGGGCCAAGAGGGAATGGAAAACCCACAGTTGAGGGATTTCCCTTGTATACTGCCCACACAAGTCCCATGTTGCCCCCTCACCCAGTTACCCCTCTCATCACCCAGCATGGCTTGATGTGTGGGACAGTGGTGGGTGGGGGCACCACAGTTTTCTGTACCATCTGCAGGGGTCCAGGCAGCCACCACTGTGCCCATCCTCTTGCCCAACCTGAAGTGCAGCTTCTTCGACCATCCCATGAACCAGGGGCTTCTCTGCCCTGTCCGGCGGCCCTACAGTCCCTCCTTGGCTCTGACAACCAGTCAGCCAAAGAAGCCCAAGATGCAGGTGCCTGGGGACATGTTCCCCCCCCACTGGAGCCCACCACCTATAGAGTTCCTAAACCCGAGGGTACTGCAGCCTGGCCAGGAGGCCCCAGCCCAGAGGTGGGTGGCAGTGGGGCCCCAGGGCCTGAGAAGACTGGCCCACCAGCCGCCTGAGGAGTTGGAGCAGGAACCTCCAGACTCGTTGGATGAGCTGTTCTGCAACATGGCAGGTCTGTGCCAGCAGGCTGTGGCCCCAGAGGTGGATGTTCGTGCCTCGGTAAGCCAGTGTCCAGTGTCCACTCCTTTGCCTCCCCTCCTTGGCTCTCCCTCTTCAGCCACCCTTTCACAGTCCCCTCAGGCCACAACTTTTGGCCACCCCTCCTCAGCCACACCACAGCTGCCCTTCCTCAGCCACCTCACCTTGGCTATCCCGCCTCGGCCACACATGCTCAACCTCTCTACAGCCGTTGGGCCCTCATGTCTGGGAGGATAGTTCCCCAAGGCTGGGCTGCTAATGGATGACTTGGGGGTGGCACCAAATCCATGCTGCTTCTGCATGGAGCCTATCAAGGCTTTTGTGCTAAGGTGAGGATTATGGCCCTGGAGCAAGGGTGGGCCTTGGTGCTGGGGTCTGGGCTTGACAGGGCACAAAGACTGCTGCTGACTCTGGTCTGGTAGATCAGGATTCCTAAGTGGAGATTTCAGTGATGAACTTCTAGTAGGTGATAGACTGCTGTTGCTAGGTAGACCGTGGGAACATTTAAGGACCCATAGATCCAGGAAATTTATTCTAAGAATAGGGCTTCAGTTTATTGGTAATAGCTCAAAATTATCAATAACCTAAATGTCTACCACTAAGAATTAATAAATTATGTTTTAGTCATACATCAGAATACCCTGAAAATGTTTTTTAAAGAGAGAGAGAGATTGAAAATATGAGAATCCCTTTGGCATTGTTGGGGAATGATCCTCAAGACATTGTGAATTGAAAAGAGCAAAGTGCAGAATGAGGTGTCTGCTACCATTTGTGTTAGGGGGGAAGCTATGACACAGTACTGCTTGCTCGTCTCCATAAAATACCTCCGAAAGCACACGAGGAATGCCCACCCATAGGCACCTGTTGGGGGAACTAGGTGGCTGGGGCGAGGGGTTTAGTCATATAAATGTATTACCTAATCAGAACAGTAAAATAAATAAAGGGCTTAATTTATATATTTTTTTCTTTTTTTCCCTCTATCTTGGTCTTTCTCTTTCTTCCTCATTCTCGTGTCTCGTTTCTCTAGTTCGCCTCTGGGGGCTCAGAGCACTATGTCAACAGTTTGGATTACTTACTGCAGGAGAAGAGGTGAGTATGAGAAACAGTCCATCATGGGGTGTTCATGTCTATGGCATCGGCAGCGATCCAGGACTCAGAGCAAACTCCTGTCAGAATAAAGCAGCCTGCCCCCTCTAGACACTGTGTGCTCTGATTAATAATGAGCACGTGGTACGGTAGCGTGGTCAGAGGGTGGCATCACCAAGGCAGAGAGCTCCCAGACCCCCAAAGCCCTTGTTCCAGGTCCTCTCTCCACCTTACCTCCTTTCTGCCCAACTCATGCTAGTTGGGGGTGTCACGACTCCCACTCACGTGTTCTGTTGGAGGCAAGCGGAAAAGCAGGCAGCTTTGCTGCTGAGGCGCACTGCCTGACTGTGCTGGGCAGACAAGAGTTTCCCGCACTTCCTACTGCCCTGTCCTAGCACTTAGGCACGCTTTGCCCGTTTTCCCATAGATTTTATCTATTTCACCCCTGCCTTCTCCCTGGTATTACAGTGGAGCCATGTCTCACGTAAAAGTTAGTTTCTGAACTAACTTCTAACTAGCCTTTCCCCTCCCTACCCTAAGCAGTTTCTAAAGGCAGCACTAAAGGCAAAAATTGAACCTAATCAGAATTGGAAATCCTAGGGAGGTGCAGGTGGTGTTACAGACTACAACCTTTGGCTCTTTGTTCTGTCGAGTGCCTGGTGATGTCTTCGGCTTGCACTGAGGGGCTATTTTGGGTGAAAATAGTAGACCCCTCCAGCACACAGTGGCTCCTCACACTGTGAGAAGCCCAGGCTCGAGAGGACCAAGGCTGGCCAGGAACGGCCCGCTCACGTGTTCAGGTCATCTCCACTGAGGCATGCCCTTTGATGGCATATGGGCAGGTTGCCCACGCTACTTAATTCTTGTGTCCTCTCTCCATTGTGTTGTTTTTCTCAGTGTATGTACATTACATTTGCAGAAGTCACATGTAGGTGGGTTGAAGCCACTGTTCAGCACTTTGGGTCCTGCCTCACCTCTCCTGCTGGAAGGACTGACGCCTCATTCGTCTCTGCTTTTCCCAGAGTTCCCAGCCCCATATTCTTTTCTGCAGGAGGAGGGAGTGAAACACACGTGGGAAGAATTATTGTTCTCTGCCTTTGTTCCTTCCTGGCCCTGTGGCCCACCCCACAGTCATCGCATCTCCCTCCTCCATACAGCTCCTCTGGGCTCTCTTACTATCCTGACATGTTCATCATTTAACTCCTCCACCTGAGTAGATTTTCTCCCAATTAGACTGTAAGTGGAGGAAGGGACCTTGTCTATATATTTCCACAGTGCCCACTGTGCTGTAAATTTAATAGATGCTCAAAAATATTGACAGGAAAGTGAGCAATGGTGGGGACTCCTCATGCCTGGTCATCAGCGTGCCTGGTGTTGGAGGGTCTTGCTCTTAGTCAGCTTGGGCTGCTGTAACAGAATACTGCAGAACAGAGCTTAAACAACAGATTATTATTTCTCACAGTTCTCGAGGCTGGAAATTCTGATCAAGTTCTGGAGATCAAGGTTCTGGCTGATTGGTTTCCCTTGAAACCAATCTTTTGGTTTTTCTGGCTTCTTGTTGTGTCCTCACGTGGCAGAGAGAGAGTGTGAGCTTTTTGGAGTCTCTTCTTATGAAGACACTAATCCTGTCTGGTCAGGGCCCCACTCTATGGCCTCATTTAACCTTAATCACTCCCTTACTCCAAATACAGCTACAGTGGGGGGTTAGCACTTCAACATATGAATTTTGGGGGACACAAACATTCACTCCATAGCACACTATGTGCTGGGCCCCATGCCAGGCAATGGATAATAGCCATTGGTGCAGCCCCTGTTCACCTGGAAATTGAACATAATGATTGCAGAATTCCCCATGCTGTAAAATTGCTGTGGAGGGGCCCAGAAGAGTGACACTGAAGCTGGAGGTCAGAAAGTGCTCCCCAGAGGTATCTTCGTCCTTGAACCTTGCAGGATTTGAAGTTTTGAGTTTGTGAGGGGGGTGTCCTCACATGTAAGGACAGGTAGGACAGACCATGCTGGTGAGGACCTGCATCCTCAGTGCCGAGGGGTGGGAGGGGCGTGGCAGGAGATGCAGCCAAGGTGTGCTTGGGGCTACATCATGAGAGCCCTGTGGACACAAGGCTGGGTGATGGGAGAACTTTAAGCAGGCAGATATGCTTTCCTAGTGTGTAAGAAAGATCTTGCATTCTTCCTTTGGAGAATGGATGGGAAGGGCGAAAGAGGGCCAGTGATGAGGAGATGAGGGGACCTGGGGAGGGATTTACCCTGGGAGGTCCCTGGGAGGAGGCCAACGTGGCATCTGATGGCCAGGGTAGTGGACACATGCCGCTGGAGGGGCCTGGTCACATTCAGCTGGAAATCATCCAGTGACTGGCTGGCTTGGAAGATCTCAGCTCAGGACGGGCCTGGGCTAAAAAGAAAATATTTGAGACCTGAGGACCTGTGGGAACAGAGGGCTCCAGGCCACTGTGGGTCAAAGGGAGAGAAAGAGGGAATGATAGGAGCTGGAGGGCTGCCATGTGTGGCCACAGAGTTGGGCCATGTCTCAGGGATACTGAGACATGGGGGCACAGCCCTCTCCCGGTCATGTGCCTGGGCCCCGGGAGGAGCAGAAGGGCCAGGCCCAGGCCTTGGTGTATTAGTAAACAAAGCTGGGTGCAGGGGTGCACACCTCTAGTCCCAGCTATTCAGGAAACTGAGGCTGAAAGATCACTTGGGCCTAGGAGTTTGAGACCAACCTGGGCAACATGGTGAGACCCTATCTCTAAAAAAAAAAAGAAAGAAAAGTAAATGAATGCCGGAACAAAGTACAGAAATAAAGACACATTTGAAATTGTATGGTGAGAAACATCTTCCTTCAGGAGCTGTCTGCTCATTTGAAAACAGCACAATCTATGCAATGCAACCCCTCCCTCCTCTTCTAAAAATCTAAATTTGAGAGCCTTTGTGAAGGTAGACCAGGACAGTGCAGCCCTCTGGTTCATTGGCTCTAGGTCAGGGTCCCTGCAGCCTGGTGCCAGGGCTGGACGACCAGGAACAGCACTGACCCCTGGCTTTGGCTCTCATCCCACCCGCAGGCAACAGGCCCTGGAGCAGGAGCGAGAGAAGCTGCTTCTGCAGGACTGTCTCAATCTCAACTCCTTGCATTTTGATGAAGATGAAGTGCCTCTCACACCTGAGCATAGGTGAGCGGCCGGGGCCCTGAAGGGGAAGGACTTAAGTGTCCACCCACTGTGGTTTTGGACAGAGTTTGACTAGCAATTTGTATACCGTTTATGGGTTCTGAAGCTTCTAAAGCTGCCTTCTTTTAAAGCCACATTCATTCATTGATTTGAGAAATATCCAATCACCTGCTGTGCATCAAGATCTAGTCTGAGCCTTTGAAGACACAGGGATCATAAAACGCAGCCTGCTCTGCCCCCATTATCTGCCCAAATTTATATAACAGAACCAGCTTTCTTGGGAAAATAGCTACACAAAACCACAATCCAAATGAAAAATGCCTTTCAAGGGGAGATTACGGCCACAGGACATTTTTCATCTTCCCTTGTCTGGGGAAAAGAAAGTGTCTCTGTCTGCGCTGTCATCTGGCTGGGGGCTCTGCTGTCCTGATTTAATTGGGCCATTGGCTGGAGGGAGGGCTGGATTCATCTGCACCACAGAGTCTCAGAGATGCCCAGGGGCCACAGCTGAATCCATCTTCAGGGTACATTGTTTTCCATCTGTTTTAATCCATTTGGGCTACTAGAAAAAAGTACCATAGACTGGGTGGCTCATAAACAACTAAGATCTATTTCTTACAGTTCTGGAGGCTAGAAGTCCAAGACCAGGTGCCAACATGGTTGGGTTCTGGCGACGTTGCAGACTGCCACCTTCTTGTGTCTTCACATGGTGGAAAGCAGTAGAGAGGCTCTGAGGCCTCTTTTATAAGGACAATAATGCCATTCATGAGGGCTCTGCCTTCATGACCTCCCCAAAGCCCCACCTCCTAACACCATCACCTTGGGGTGAGGATTCAACATATGAATTTGGGGGGGACATAAACAGTCTATAACACCATCTATCCATTTGTCTATCTGTCCATCCATCCATTCATTTATCCAACAAATGTTTATTGAGTGCCAGCCAGGTGCCAGGCTCTGTTATAACCTCTGAGGATATAGCAGGAACAAAACCAGACAGATCTCTGCCCTCATGTTGCTCACTTTCAGGTTGGGGAGATGAACAATAAACAAGATAAATGAAGCTCCACAAGTGCTCATGAGAAAGGATAAAGCGGCAGTGGGTGGGGGGTAAGATTTTGGACGAGGGGTCAAGGAATACCTCCGTGAGCAGATGACTTTTAAGCCAAGCATGAAGGAGGTGAGAGCCAGCTCTAGGCATCCCTGCCATGGGAGTGCACCTAGTGTGTTGGGGAGCAGCGAGGAGGGGATGTGTGAGAACAGGAGGGCAAGGAGGCCAAGGGCAGGTGCTGGATCTCGGAGCTTTGGCTCTGAGCCCGCCACCGTCAATCTCAAACATTGTCAAAACATTTGCACAGGCCCCTCTGGCTGCGGTGTTGAGGGAAGACCAGCGAGGTATGGGGGTGAGGGCTGGAGGGGGACCATGGCCAGATGAGGCAATAACCCAGGAATAGTGATGGTGCCTGGATGAGGTGGGCGGTGAGGGGCGGGCCAGTTCTGGAGATGTGTTCAGGGTAGAAGTGACAGGATTTGCTGACAAACTGCATGGAAGGTGTGGGAGAAAGAGGAATCAAAGGAGACCCCAGGAGTTGGGCCTGTGCAACCGAAAGGTTGGCATTATCTTTAATTAAAGTGGGGGAGACCAAGTGACCACAGGCTGTGGTGAGGGGTGGGCACAGGATCAAGAGTTCATTTGGGACATCCAGGCGCAAGATCTGGTAGGTGGTTCGGATGTGCATCCAAAGAGGCAAGCTTGGGAGTCCCCATGTACAGATGACATTTAAAGCCGTGAAACTGGATGAGATCCCACCTAGGGGACTGAGAAGAGGGAGCAGGGCAAGGCCCCCAGGGCACAGGGCCAGTGGCATTTCGGGGCCAGAGGAGGAGGCAGCAAAGAATGCTGAGCAGGTTGGAGGGAAACCGGGTGCCTGAACGCTGGGCTGCTGGTAGCTCCAGCGTGGGGATGACTGAGAAATGACCATTACATTTGGCAACGTAGAGGTCACAGTGACCTAGACAAGAACAGCACTGGTGGGCTGGTGGGGACGGGCCTGACTGGAGTGGGAAGTTCATGGGAGAACAGGAGAGCATAAAGGAGAAAAACGAGCAGTAGCTGAAGAGGGCAGCGGGATCAGGACAGGTTGGTTGGTTTCTTTGTCTGTCTGTCTGTCTCTGTTTCTCTTTCTTTCATGGAGGATGTAACAGAAGGTAGGCTAATGGGAATGACCCAGGAGAAGGGGAATTCATGTTGAGAGGGCCAGAGGGGGAACTTTAGGAACCGTGTGCCCAAGAGGGGGTGGGGTGGGCGACGGGGCGGCCTCAGCTGTGTGGCCAGGGCAGGCTGGTCGACACACCCTGTTGTCCTGCTGTCCAGGCCTGGCTGCTTCTGTGAGCCTAAGTTGTATTATTTAGCACCGGTCCAAGGGTGATGGGTGAAGTTTTGGTACATGCTTTAAGTTAGCATTCCACATCCACTCCCTGTGGGACTGTTGAGTGATAACATACAGACTTGCTCCAGGGTCCCTGCCTCTCAGATCCTCGAGTGATTTACACTGTATGGTCACCCAAAGGTGATTACGAGCCATGCCCAGGCTGCCACATGCTTTGTCCTCAAGTTTCTCTGATAATCATCTCTTGACTAGGTCAGGGATCAGCAAACTGTTTCTGAATAGTTGGTAAATAGATAATGAATATTTGGGGCTCTGAGGGCCATGTGGTCTCCACTGTAAGTACTCCACTCTGCTGTTGTAGCGTGAACACTCCCACACACAGTAGGAACACGAATGAGCGCGGCTGTGTTGCAGTAAGACCTTGTTTATAGAAACGGGCCATGGGCAGGGCTGGGCTGCAGGCTGTCGTTTGCTTGGTCTAGATTAGGAGGACCCCTGCCTACTGGCTGGTACCAGTTTTCACCATGAAAATCTGGGAATGTGTTCAGATTTGAACAGCATCCCACATAGGCAAAGAGAGCTCCCTGCACACTGCACAGACGTTGACTCCAAAAAGGGCAGGTGCTGGGTCTTTTCTGATGTCTCAGGAAGCATCTGGATAGATAACGGCGGAGCATGAAGAGTGAATTTAATCATTATGTTTAGGGCCAAAGGCCTCCTTTGGCAAGAGTGCCATGGTGGGTATTATATGAGGCAAAAGCAATTTTCTCTCTGAGCTGAGACTTGTGGATTTGGTTTCCAAGTTTTCTGCTCACTAGTTAGATAGCCTTGAAATTAAACCTTTTAAACCCTTTTTAAAATTGCTGTAGTAAGAACGATTCTCCTAGCTCTTTACCTTCCTACCGAGTGTATCCAGGATTCCAGAAGTCATGGCTTGGATGTTTTGAAAGGGAGCTATCTGTGTGACCAGCTTAAGGCAGAAGGTATTCCTGGCTTTGAAATCACTGCTAATTTTCCAGGCATGTGAATTTCCCAGTGGTGCTTTAACAAAGCCTTTTGACAACAGCCACTTTGAGGTGGTTGTTTTGATGTGGGATCATTTCGATGGGACTGTTCAAGTTTCTGCTTTAAAGAAATCACTCACGGATATACAAAGCCAGCAGCCTCTTCCATCCCTGAATGGGGCCAGAGGAAGTGGTGGGGGCCAGGGAAGGGGCTGTGGGTCAGGAAGGGGTGAGGCTGAGGGTGGGGGCTAGCCACCATCTGCCAGACAAAGCATCCTATGATTGCCACAACTGCCTGTTATGGAAAAGACCCCTGATCATCCTGAGCAGACCACCTGCGCATGCTCTAAGACTGGAGGCTTGCATCTTGGGTAGATGACATCCTAAATACTTCGTTTCTTAAAGTTGAAAGACCTCGTGTGTGTGTGCTGAGGCTGGGGGAGAGGCGGACACTTAAACCACAACATCATCCTTTATCCTCAGCCCTCGGCTGTACAGGAAATCCTCAATTAGATGTATGCATCGTCTCAGAACTCTTAAGAATGCACATACATTATAGTTAATATCACAAAAGTCCCTTTGAACGATAGTTTTGGGGACAGAGCTAGGACCATATTACAGATTAGCCTAGTTCTTGGAGACTTTTAATAATTTGTACATTTTTTCTAACTGTGAAAGCAATATATAAGAAGCAATGGATAGAAAACTCTAATGGCAAAAACATGAACAAAACAGAAAATTATTTTACCATTTGTGTGGCAATTTGCTGAGACTGCTTCCAAAAGCCTGCAGGGTCAGAATCCTCTTGGTTTTCCAACATAATTTCCATTTTTGGGGCCATTTCATTCTCAGGATGGCCCTGCAATGTGGGTTGGGGCCTTACTTTGGGTCACTTGACTAGAAAGTCAGACAGACTTTGTGTGGCCAGCTGGCAGGCCACCGAGTAGGCCACTCCACCTCCAGCACCAGCTACTTGTGTCCGGATCCTAAGGGGGCCTCCCCCTGTGTTTGCTGTTTCAGACAGTGGGCCCGGCTGGAAACCTGGGTATGGGCTGTCTTCTGGTGAGAGGAGGGGAAGCAGTGTCCACAGTTTGTTTTGTTGTTATTGTTAAGTGTGTGTTATATTGCTACAAAGTCAAGCAGAAGACAGTTATATGAAGTAAATAAGAAATGTCTCCTCTCCCTCTCCCCTCTCCTGATTCTGTTCCCTAGGGATGACTCTAGGTAGTAGTTGGGTGTAGCCTATATACATGGGGTGCTGTGTGTGTCTAAGTATGTCTGTGTGTGCTATGTGTATAGACACATGCACATCCACACACACAGACACCCCTTCTGCAGCTTGCTATTTTCTCCCACCAGCAAACTGGATTAGGTGCCCACACCAGTCCTTCATCGTGTAGAGATTTAGCTCGTTCTTAGGAGTCATCTTAGCTGCCTCCCTTTTCCCCTTCCCCGTGTCAGTGGGTCCTTAAGTCTGAACAATTTTTACCTCTCCCTAATATAGTTGAACCGTATCTCCTCTCCTTCTCCCTGTTCCTTCCCTGTCCATGGGCCCAGCTCTGACCTGCTAAATCAGACTCTCTGAACAGGGCAGGGCCAGGATCTGCACTGCAGCACCCTCCCTGACCTAGCCGCACCTCTCTCCTCTACCCCTTGCAGAGCCACCCAGTAGTCTGCTCTGTCAGTTCTGCTCGCCAAGGGTGTTGCAGTGATTTGTTTACACTTTTCCTGGCTGCCCACGCCTGACTCATCCTTCAGCACCTGGCATTGTAAACACACAGTGAAAATTTGACCTGAGAGAGCCAATGGGTGGGGCTGGGGCTGTGGCTGTGACCAGCTCTTTTGGCTCCTGGAGTAGTGTGCTGAGGGAGGAGTGTCTTGACAGAGTGGAGAGTGAAGGGCTCCTTAGTCTGCACCTGATGGGCTCTTCCTGCATCAACAGGTGGCGCTGTCCCCCTGACCTGTGGGGGGTACTGCAGGGCAAAGAGCACTTGGCCTTCCCTGGGCCTCCTGCCATGCTGCAGACCCAGGTGCACCTGCTAACCCCGGCTCTTGTGCCCCTTGCTTTGCCAGGATGCTGGTGGAGAAGTTCTCCTTGCCACACTGGGTCATCCCGCCAGTACATCCAGGCGAGACTGTGTTTCTGCCCAGGAGTCATCCCCTGCCTTGGATCCTGGACTCCTCACACCTAAAACCACGAAACCACCTGGAAGGGCTGTTCCTCAGGTATGTGTATGTGAGGGAGAGGGAAGGGGTGGCACAGTCTGGACAGGTCCCCTCCCTCCTGGAGCCCAGGGGTAGAGCCACCCCAAAGGAGGAGATCCAAAGCAGTATTTTGTCCTATTTGGGTATGTCAGCTTTTAGGGATATAGATGACACACTCACACATATCTATTTATAGTGTTTACTAATTTTGATGTACATACTTTTAAAAAATTCTGCATTATAGCAAATATCAGGTTGTGCATTTACGTGTTCATGTTGCTTTCTCTTCCCCTACACCCCAGTTTCACGGAATAGTTTGAGTCAGACTCTTCATACATGCCTTTGGGGTTATGTCTGTGTCAGCCCTGAGGCCACTTTCTGGGCCATCCAGCACATTCGATGGTCTCGTCCATCTACTTTTTAGGGACACTGCACTTCTCCAGTCAGTATATGGTACTGAAACTGAAAGGTTTGTCCCCAGCCACAAGTACACTCTGTAACACTAGGACAGCTGCTTTGTTCCTCTTCTTTTTGGAAGTAAATTCATGATCATTATCATATAACCACTGACTATGTTACTTTTCAGGAGGATTTTTAAAAGATTTACCACAATCATAGCCAACACTTGCAATTGTGAGCTAATATATCCAAGAATAATAGAAAGAAAAAGCCCACAGGATTCAGTGCAATGGCCATCCGCTGGGTACTCACACAGGCTGGCACCCTGCTGCGCTGGAGGCCAGGGGCAATGGGGGGCACCCTGGCCCACCTGGTAAGGAGCATAGAGGTCGGGCTGCTTCTATGGTCTCTTCAGTCACCTTAGGACTTGAACACAGGACTCTTGCTCTCTTTTCCAGCTACTCAGGGCTTTCTTATGTTTATTTCATTAAGTTAAATTAATCTAATTAAATCCATCTTATTTTATAATATGAAGATTACTCTTAACATTTTGATGTGCTTCCTTAAAAAGTTCTTATCACAGGCCGGGCGTGGTGGCTCACGCCTGTAATCCTAGCTCTCTGGGAGGCCGAGGTGGGCGGATCATTTGAGCTCAGGAGTTTGAAACCAGCCTGAGCAAGAGTGAGACCCCGTCTCTACTACAATTAGAAAGAAATTAATTGGACAACTAAAAATACATAGAAAAAATTAGCCGGGCATGGTGGCACATGCCTATAGTCCCAGCTACTCGGGAGACTGAGGCAGGAGGATTGCTTAAGCCCAGGAGTTTGAGGTTGCTGTGAGCTAGGATGACGCCACGGCACTCTAGCCCGGGCAACACAGTGAGACTCTGTTTCAAAAAAAAAGTTCTCATCACAGGAAGTTGCAAGCGCCTATAAATGTAGAGAGATCAGTATAATGTACCTCTGTACAGCCATCACTCAGTTTCAGCAAGGACCAGCTCAAAGCCAATCTTGTTTGCTCTCAACCCTGCCCAATAACACCATCCCCCCAGGACTACTTTTAAGCAAATCTCATGTATAATTTAATCTTAAATATTTCAGGTTGTGTCTCCAATATTAATACATAAGATTCTATTTTTAGATGTAACTTCAACACCATTATTATACCTAAAGAAATAGTTATTTCTTAATAGCATTAATATGTTAGTGTTATTTCAATTGTTTTATAAATGTATTTTGTAGGTTGCTCAAATCGGAATCTGAACAATGTCCAAACATTGCAATTAGACAATATAATGTTGATGAAGTAATGTAGCATTGCATTGATGCCCTAACATATTTAACCATTTTCCTCATTTTTTTGTACATATACGTTATTTCCAGCTTTCCTCTGTTATAAACAATGAGGTGGAGGATATTCTTATACATAAATATTTGCCCAGAGGTCTAGAATATATTCCTAGCTGCAGTGTGAGATTATCCTAAGTGTAAAAACATTAGTAAAGTTTCACACTGTCATATTGACGCGATATCTAATAAAGAGATGAAAAGATACAAGGAGAGAATAAAGGAAAAAGAAGAAAGAGTAGAGCTGGAGACAGGAGAGGGACAAAGAAGAGGCTGGGCAGGGACTGCAGTGGACACACAGGAAGGCGTCTTCCTGGGCTGCTTTGGCATCAGGGTTTGTGCCAACAGCAGGTTTTCTGTCCCAGACGGGATGGCGGGCAGGAAGTGTTTGACAGATGAGATGGCCTGTGGAGTGGTGACCTGGGATCAGAGCAGCCCTGCCAAATGGGGCCAGGTGGCTGCCCAGCTTCCCTGGAGTGCGGGATCCAGGCCCTCCTCCCTCAGATATGCTAATGAAGGACAGTGGAGATGGTGTTGCTGGCGCCTCAGATCTGTGGCTTTGGGAATCTGAGTGTGGCTTTCTGGAGGAATGCCGGCTGTGTGACTCTGTGACTGGGTCCGGGGACGCCTGCTGGGCAGGGGTAAGGGCTACTTCCTGAAGGTCACCATTTAGCCTGGAGTCATCTTTCATTTCCTGTTTGTGCCAAGGACTTAGAGTCCAGAGACACAAGAGTGGGAAATACTAGTCTTTCAATAATGACCCACCATATTCAGCCAGAAGCATGGCCGTGAGGAAGACAACAAGGTCACTGAATCTCTTAAGAAGCAGTCAGTCCAATTTCTTGCCATACAGAAAGTTAACACTGTGAGGTGACAGGTAATTTTTTATTTTCCTCATTTTACTCCTCTGTGTATTCCAAGTTCTCTACAATGAACGTACATCAGTTTTATCAGAGGCGGGAAAAGGGAATGCCATTTTTTAAAAATCACCTCTTGAAATGGATGCACTGCTTCTACCCTTCCGTGAAGGGGGAAAAATGGGAAATGTCGGCACAAATTAAGCAAGCAGTTTGTTTCAGGTCACAGGGCAAGTACAGGCAGACAGACCTGGTGTCTGAACCCCGCAGCCTCCCTGTCAGACCGCACAGGTTTATGTGTGAGAATGCCACCCCACCCCGCCCCCGCCGTGCAGTCGCGGATGGCCCAGATGACCCTCTCTCCATCCGACCTGGGGTCAGTCCCTGGGACCAAAGTCACATGCCTTTGTGACAGAAGCTGCTACCAGCCATTTCCAGGAGCTGAAGTTTTTCCTCCTCCTTCAACAGCGTTTCAAAAGGAAATCTGACCCTCCCAAGTGGAAAAGCGTCAGGACAAGCCACGTACAGCTGAGGGGGCGGAAGCGGGCTCCGTCAGAGGGGTGGAGGTGGCCTTGCCAGGCTGAATTACTCACAGGCCTGCCCGTGGTGTTCACAAGGATGTCAGGGTCCACGTTTGTCCTCGGGTGCATCTGCCACTGTGGTGTGAGGACCGGTGGGCTCTCCGGAAGCCCCAGTGTCTTGGCATTCCCCGTGAACACTCCAGCAGGAGGGGCGGTGCAGGAGGTGGGCGAGGCTGAGCTTAGCATCTCCCTGAGGCCCAGCAACCTGGGCTCTTGTTTTACCACAAGCTCCTTCTCTTCCTAGAGGAAGAGGCCAGGGTTGAAACCCAGGTGAAATAAATCCAGCAGTTACAGAGTGTGGACAGGGCTAAGCCATCCCACTGGCTGCCTGTGGCCCTGAAAGTAAGGAGCAAGCAGGGAGGGTGCACGGCTGCTGCGGGGACCCCTGGGCTTCTGCCTGCGCTGGCGCCTGCTTATCTTTAAGCAGAGGAAAGAAAGAAGGAGATGAGGGGCACAGGCGAAAGCTTTGACCATTATGTGTTTCTGTTGTGTTTAGGGATTTTATTTAGCCTTTCATTTGAGTAACTTGGCAAAGTCCCATAAACCGATACTGTATAAATAACTACACTTGGTGTTTATCCTTCCGCCATCACTTGGGATTTCCAGGCATTTGAAGACTTTGCCCTCTGGGACTGCTGCCTGTTAAATAGATGAGGAGGTAGAGACTAGAGAATCTTTCCTTGATGGAAATTCCGAGGAGAAGGTCAGAGTTCTGCTCCAGAAGCCCAACACACTGAACCGTACTGGCCCCCTGTTTGTTGTTACTTGTTTTACGTGTTTCTTCTTTTTGGCTCATTTCCTCCCCTTACTTCCTTCTGTTTCAGTGGGCAGCGAGTGTGGAAGCAGACACCTGCCCGCTGTCATTGCTGGGGATTAGCAGTGTTCTGACTCTGGCTGCGCCCTGTGCCTCTCTCATTCCCACTCACGGCTGAGGTCCCCCGTCAGAACCTCCCTTCACTGGGATCCTCAGGCCCAACAGCTGGGATCTTCATGCTCAGCCAGGCCTGAGTGGCATCTGCTGCCCAGGAAGGCTCTGTCCCACCCCTTCTCCCTCCAGGGTCCTCTGACATTCTCAGGATAACTTCTGATCTCAGCATTGGCTTGGCCACGGACAAAGGCATGCACATGGACCCAGCATCAGGGTTCTTGATATGGGGATGTGACTCTGACAACAGCTGATTCTATCACCCAAGGATATTTAGCTTTCACTGCACACCCCCTTCACCTCCCCCGACCCGTTTCCTTTTCTACCAGGCTTCCCTAACTGGGTGCCTGGGCAGGGACCCTCCTTCCTGCCCCAGAGTCAGGACAGTGTATGCACACGAGGCCCATTCCCTGCCCTGTAGCCAAGCTCGAGGTCACCTTGTGCCATCTTGAACTGCTTAGAAGGGTTTATGGCTGAGCCAAGGGGATGCAGCACTTCCCTCCTGCCAAGTGTGCACCCAGCCTGCAGAGGGAATCCTGACATCTCATGTAGCCCTAAACACAGAATTCCTTGAGAGCCCTTCCCTCCAGGGCAGAGCAGGACTATGTCCTTCCTGACCCTCTCTCACTCCTGGTCTTACAGAAGAAACCCAGCTCAGCAGCAATGAACTTGAAGACCGACCGATCATTCATTTCTCTGGCAGAAACTGCACAGCAAGGCCGGCATAGCAGAAGGGAGACATTGTGACCTGCAGGGTCTCCCCCTCAGAGCACCAGTTAGTCATGTGTTGATCTGAGCCAACAGGGGCTTGTACAATCAATTCCCCTGCTGGGAAACCGGCAGGGTTCCCCCCCAGTGGAATGCCAGAGCCAGAGTCTCTCGCCTCAGAGTCCCTGAAGTGCCAGCCTTCTCACCACATGGCCTCTGGTGGGGTCCTGCCAATTTGCAAGGTCTGCCTGGGTATTGTCCGCATTCAGGGTGCTGTGCATGTACTTGAACCATGCATCTTGGGGGTCAGTCCATGAAAGTCTCTATGTGACCAGGCACGTGGAGTACAGCAGAGTGTGCCAGCAGCCCTGGGGTGCACACGTGTTTGTATGTACCAGTAAAGGTCTATTGCAGAGTGGTAAACTTCACAACCATGGGAACAAAGCTGCTTTCTCCTCTGAACTTAAATGACTTAGAAAAAAAACATACAATTTGTAAATTGCCTGGACATACTCAGGGAGACAGCAGCTTGGCTCAGAGGAGAATCTTTGTTTTGTAGCATTCTGTTCCTGGCAGATTAAAGTATAATGTCCTTTTGAAAAAAGGAAAAGGAGGAAGAGGAGGAGGTTGGGCTGACTGAGGAACTTTTTATCTAGGGTCATGACATTAAATACTATCTGAAATGTTCTTTCCATGGATTTGGGCCATTAAAAAGAAGAACAAACATGGAATTACTTTTTTATTTCCTGGAGCCCATATTAATTATCATTGAGACATCATCTAGAGAGAGAGAGAGAGAGAGTGCAAAGGAACAATCACAAAATGCCCAGGGAATAGGAGAATCCTACCCCAAACCCCGTCTCTCTGGGGATGACCAGGAGAGTTCAGGAAGGATGACAAAGTCCAGCTGACCCTTCATTAAAATGACCTCTGAAGCACCTTCCACCAGAGGCCCTACAACCACAAGAAACATTTGAACTCCTCATTTTAGAGAGACCTGGGATCTCGTGGGTCAAGGTGATCTGCAAAGCAATGACATACTCAAGGCAGGGCTCCTCTGCATGCCAGTGGTCTGATTTTCAGAGCTCCTGTTAGAAGGGAGAAGCCCACTGGGATGGCACGGGTGGACATACAGGTCATGACCATAGCTGCGGGGCAGTCTGAGTGCCTTTCCCCTGACTCTGGGACAGCTGCTGCTCACATGCTTTCCGAAGAATCCTCTGTGGATTGAGCTTTCCTTCCCAGAATTTCCCTGTCCTGGGCTCCTTTCTGTTATTTTCCATCTTAGGTGTCCCCTTTGTGTCAGAAAAGCACAAGGCAGCAGAAACGCCCCGTGAAACCAGATCCCCAACCTCTGGCCATGCCTGGGGGTAATCCTGCTCACCTCTCACAGCCTGGAGCCCTGATTCCTGGGCTCCCTCCTCGCCTTGCCAAATCCTGTTCACACCCCTGGCAAATACCTTGGCCTCCCCTTCTGTCAAATGGAAAGGACAAAATGTGCTCCCCAGCCCTATGTTTTAAACACTGTGAGATATGTTCATGGAAAGCGCTCGAAAAAAGCAAATTATTCTGATGATGGCGTGGGTTGCTTTTCCTTCCCAGCTCCTCACATCCAGGGCTCGAAAAGCATGTTTGTCCATCGCATCGGGGAAGTGCTTCCCAGCATCCCAGTGAAGCTGAGCAGTGACGGTCTCCCGCAGTGTTACTGAGGCAGGCATGCTGTGGGGCCACCTCGTGGGGCCTCGCCTAACCTTGCCTCTCTGCCCACAGCTCCCCACTGGCCCAGCAGCTCTCCCTTCTGCGCAGCGGCCTCCTGAGCACGCTCTACCTGCGTGCGCCCGACCGCCCGGTGCCCCTGCTCCAGTGGCTGTTCCAGGTGAGAACCACAGACCTGCCACTAGGTGGCGGGAGCGTTGCAGCCTGGTAGCCCTGGGCACTTAACCTCTTCTTGCCTTGGGTGCTGCTGGGCTGGGCGTGGGAGGAGAGGAGGGAGGAAGGTTGATTGGGCATTAATCCTCACCGTAATGCTAAGGATGCCAAGGTCAGGGAGGTGCAGGGACTCGCCTGTGGTTCCACAGAGCTTGCGACCGCCTGGGGGCCTCTGCCTCCCATGTCAGAGTGTGCGTCTCAGAGTGCTGCCTGTGCCCTTCCTGAGGGGCCTGGTGTTCCAAGTGAACTTAAGGTCTAGCCTCTCAGTGATTCAGTCCATGCCACTCAACAAGTGCTTCTGTTGTGTCAAAGATCATCTCAGGGCCCACCACAGCCCTGCAGCACCCCTTGAAGTGTGGGGCCCTCATGACTCTGGAGCTGAGGGTACTCAGGTGTTTGAGCATTTGCTTCCCTCTGTGCAGTTGTAGGTTAGAATAGCCTAGAAAATAGCTTTGTCCACACCGCCCTATTTCTTCCCTCATGGTTGCTGCTAGAACATGTTGCCTTGGGGGACATGCGTTCTGCCCAGGGCTTGAAACCTTTGCACAGAGGAAGACAATGAGAAGCCAGCAGGACAGCCCAGGACCCAACTGCTGTGATCTGAATGCACGGCATGAGGATGCCGGCCTGGCCTTGGCCACCGCCCAGGACCATCCCTGTACGGGGACAGGCAGGTCACAAGTTCCAGCTGGTCCCATTCCTGCCAGTTGGAGCCTGGACCCCAGCTGTAAATCAGAGCCACCATGCAGGGTGGATTATTCCAGGAACTCCTCAACTCAGCAGGCTGGCTGCAGTCCAGAAGGAGCCTTCCAGCTCTCTCTTCTTCCTCTGGGGTCTTTCACATCGCTCGTCCCTGCCCCAGAGGAAAAGGACACACTGGCTCCTGGTGTCCTTGTGTGTAGCTGTTGCCCCCCCACCCCAAGGCCCAGAAGGAACGGTGGTGAGTAACAGGAACAGTGGGGCCATTCTTCTCTACCCTAGTCAGCGCAGCCTCTCTGCTCCTTGCACAGTATATGACAAAATGTACAATCGGGCATCAGGAGGCACAAAGAGCCCATCTGAGACAGTGCCCACAGAGGGTCCTTGTGTGACCCTGACACGGCATGACATGCCTACCCTTGTTGGTGCGGTGGTCTCCACAAGGTTCTGCAACCCCAGCCCCGGGAGGCACGGGGCAGCCCTCCCCAGCTCTTCCCCCACCTCCTTCCTGCCAGGAGGCATAGAGGAGAGGAGTCAGGGAGCCAGCCCTGGGATCAGACAAACTAGGCGTGAGTTCTGGCTCTGCCTCTTGCCACTGTGTCACCTTGGGTGAGTTGCTTGGCATCAGCTCTGTGCCTCAGGATGCTGGGGCTCACGGTGCTTGTGGAGGTTAGGTGGGTGAATCCTGTGAACTGCCTTGTCCTTATGGTCCCCCACAGCTCTGCTCAGGACCTGGCCATCATCTGCAAGGAATGATGTTACTGTAGAGCTTCCAGTTTACACTCCGCTGGAAGGAGAAACAAATGCACCCCCCTCTCACACAGCTGAAGGCAGGTCCATGAAAGGCATGCACTTGGCTTTGGGAGCCTTCTGGGCAGTGTACTTGGTGTACTGCAGAACCTCATGTAGGACTCTGGTTGTGGGAGGCAGAAATCCATGGGTGCTCCCTGAAGCCTCCAGGGGGATTCTTAAAAAGGTGCAGGGGTGGTTCATGGGATCCCAGGGCAAGGACGTGCTGGGCCTCGGGAAGAGCTGGAACCAGAGTCGAGCAACCAGGGCTGGGATCCTAAGACAGGCCTCTGCTTCTCTCCCCTCCCAGGCTCCATGGCCAAATAAGGCCAGACCCTGTTCCCACATCTAATTCCCCAGAAAGGAGAATCTGGTTAGGCTAAGAGGGGTTAAGTGGTCCCCCGATCTGATCAAATACAGCTAGGTAAGTGGAATCCCAGGGCTGCCAGGGGCCACATGTGTACCTGGAGCCCGTTCTGAGAGCCAGGGGTGGGTGAGGAGGGCAGACCTCTCCAACTCTATTGGTTCGAGTTTCTTTGAAAGAACATCCTGAGTTCTCTCAGGGACTTGGTCCTGCTGTCTGCCCTCCTCCCATCTCCTGGGGGCTTCAGCCGGGTATACAGTGGGCACTTGGGCATTGGCCGAACAGGTTACAGCCTCAGTGCTGAAGATCTCTGTGGCTTGTCCTGGAGCCCTCGTGCATACCTGCAGGTGAGCCTTGTTGAGGTGGGTGGACAAAAGCAGGTAGCATATGTCCTTAGTGAATTTATGTTCTTGTTAGGAGATATTCAGGGGTTCAACTATGAAAAAATTACCAGAAGGTACAAAAGGAGGAGAAAGGCATAGTTCTAGACTCTGAGCTGGTGGTTTCCGTGCAGGTTTACTGGGGAGCACTCACAACCACACATGTGAGGGAAGGAGAGCAGTCCCCTTGGGGCTCTGCAACCCCATGACCCTTTAGAGTTGTCCCGATTGAGGCAAGGCATCCAGGCCCTTGGACCCAGCACCAGCCACTGGTCAAATGCGGGTTGTACTTGTTGAGGGACACAACCTTGGGCCAGGTAATCCCTCCAAGGTCAAGGCCCAGAGAGTGCTTGGGCTCAGGGTCCCCCAGCAACAGTGCCCAGTCCCTGGGGAAACAAAGAGCCTCACCCTGAAAGGGGATGTGCCCACAGTGCCAGCACAGCAGGCTTTTCTCAGTGTTCTCGGGAGAAGCAGTGTCATGGGCAGCATGGCCAGCCACGGAGAAGCCCCACCTCTGAGTGTCTGCAGACCAGATGGCACTCGTGGGCAGGTCCTGTCCCATTTCTCATCTCCATGTTCCAAATCCCCAGCTTGTCCTCCCTGATTGAAAGAGTATTCAGATAAAGACCCCAGTGAGTCTGAGTCAGGTGGGTGACTCCCCCCTCAACCATTGTTTGAGGACCTGTGCTCAGTACCAAGGACCTTCCAAGCCATTGGTCTCAGATGACAGGTTAAGGTGTTGACCTGGAAATGATTCAAAGGTCACAGAGAGGGGCTGCCCCTGTCTTTGTCCAGCTGACTGTGGTCAGTGCCTGCAAGTTCCTTCTCTCCTCTACACTGACCCCTGCCCTGGAGGGGAATGGCTGTGACGAGGAGAACCAAGACTCCCACACAGGAAGGTGGCCAGAGTAGGTTTCAAGTGACACAGACCTGGACTGGAATCCTGGCTTTGCTGCTTACTAGCTGTGTGATCCTGGGTGAATTGCTTGACCTCTCCGAGCTTGGTTTCCTCATATGTAAAATGGCAATGATGACAGTGTCCTCCTACTATGTGAACTTGTGAGGATTAAATGGGATTTATTTAATATGGAGTAGTAGAATCTTGCTACTATTACGCCATGGGAATGACCCGGCTAACTTTTGTTTTTTTCCTCTTAGCTGCTGACATGGCCTCCAGAAACTTCTTCGGGAGCCTTTGGTCTCCTGTGGGATCTCAGTGTGGATGGGCTCTTCTGTCAGTCTGGTCAGTACTGAGGTGTGGGGTGGAGACTGGAGTCCCAAACCCTCAAGCCTGTAGGATACATGACCCTCAGTCCCCCTGGAGCTCAGCATGCGGGGGAGGTGCTGGTGGGGACATTGCATCACCCGGATTGGAGACATCAGGCCATCTTTGGCTCTGGCTCTAGTCTTAGTAAAAAGCTGAGGTGACAGCCTCCTTGGCACCTTGATCCAGGTCACGCAGCCAAGTCCAGGCTGACCTCACAGGCTCTCGGGATCCCAGAGCAGTCCAGGAACTGGGCTCAGACTGAGGCAGTCTCTGGGTCTGACTGACTTCTTGCCTCCGGGTTCTTCCCAAGAGCCCCAGTTTGCTTGGGAGGGCTCTGGGAACATCTGCAGCAAATCAGGGCAGCTCCTTGGGTTGGGGTCACCAAGGGGGAGGTCCCTAAAGCTGCCCCCCACTGACAGCCCTCTTTGGCTGGTAGGACATCAGCGGTACCCCTGAGTTTGGTCTGGGCTGGAATGAGAGCCTCAAGTCCGTTCCTTGGTCATGGCATTTAGGAGGTGTATTTAATTCATGTTTCTAATACTTTAAGATGTACAGAGTTCCACAGAAGCAATTAATGCTCCCCTCAGTGGCTGCACCCTTCCCAGGCTGTCATCATTCAATACCTGAACCTAGACATTTTGGCACCAAAAAATATCATGTAACCAGTTAAAAGTTGCTTACAGCAGACGGTGAGAGGGATTCACAGGTGCCCAGACCCCGCCTTTGCCCCTACTGTAGTCTGCTCTCCCTCCCGCCAAAGCACGGAAGCACATAGCTCTGAAGGCCAAGGTTATAGACCTGTGATGCACCATTTTCCCCTTAGCCCTTTGAGTTTCTGCTTTTGTGCCTCTTCTGCTTTAGGAGTTGACTAAGCTGGGAGCCATCTGTCAAATTAGAGCATTCCAGACTCCCCCCCACCCCACCACAGACCCCACTAACTGAGGTCTTCTGAACAGCACCAGTCTCAGCACCCTCTCCCTTTCTGTGACCTCTGCCCTGCAGCCCCAGCTGCCCTTTGTGGCCCCGGGGGCTGTCTCTGTGGCATGCCTGCCCTTTTGGGAACAGAGGCCTCCCTTGTCCTGCTCTTCTCCTCCGTGCAGTGGTATGTGTCTCCTCCGCAGAGGCAGAGAGGATGTCCTACCCTTCTTGCCACATTGTTTCTGATTCACCCTCCATCACGGGGGCCAGAAACTGGTTCCCGGGTTACCCCGGTTACTGGTCAGCTCAGCTCTGGCTCTCCCGACTCCAGAGCATCTCCTGTGGACATTACGTGAGAGCCCAGCCTGAAATTCTGTTTCTGTGCTTAGTGGAATAGAAACTGATCTAGAGGATCTCTGCTGATGAGGGAAAGTCAGAGGCCAGGACCACAAGAGCACTGAAAGCAGGGACTTGCACAGATATTTGCATACCTAGGTTCTTAATGACATTATTTACAACAGCCAAGAGGTGGAGGCAACCCAGGTGTCCAGTGAGAAATGGATAAACAAAATGTGATATATACATAATGCCGGAATATTATTTTGCCTTAAAAGGAAGACATTTCTTTGAATGTCATGATATATTGTAAAAAAAAAAAAAAAAAGGGAAATTCTGACACTGCTACAACATGTAACCTTTCACTTATGCTAAGTGAAATAACAAATACTGTATGATTGAATTTACATGAGGTACCCAAAGTAGTCAAATTCATAGAGACTGAAAGTGGAAAGGTGCTTGCCAGGGGCTGGAAGGAGGGGAGAATGGGGAGTTGTTGTTTAATGGATATAGAGTTTCAGTTTGGGAAGATGAAAAAGTTCTGGAGGTGGATGATGGTGATGGTTCCACAGCAATGTGAATATACTTAATGCCACTGAATTGTACACTTAGAAATGGTAAAGATGGCAATTTTATGTTGTGTGTATTTTACCACAATTGGAAAAACAAAAACAAAAACGAAAAGCTGGTAGAGAGCAAAGAGCCAGGTTCCAGGAGGGAATCTGCCAAAAGCTAGAACTAAAGTCAACCACCAGTTCATTTCTAAGTGTAGATTAGATCCAGGATTGATGCAAAAGGAAGTCATGCTCCTCTGGCTTCACTGACAACCTGGGTGCTCTAAGTGTGTCTGAGAGGACTGCAGGGCTCTGGGGTACAGAGCTCGGGGCAGAAGGCCGACTCCCTTCCTTTCTATATCCATGATTATGTGTGTGTGTTTTCAAGTGGCTGGTCCTTTCTCTTATGTAAAACAGGAGATTTGTGTGCCTGTAAACTTCTGTCTTTTCTGGACTTTGTGGTGACCGACAGTTCTTCCCAGAGTATGTGGGAAGGGTCTTATGCAATCGTCTTTATCCTAACCCACTTCCTGAGTAAGGAGAGAATAGAGGGACCCAGAACAGGGCCTGGGACCTGGATTTGCTCCAGTGACTAGGGCTGAGGGCTGAGCAGCCCAGGGTACACTGGTATGGGGCTATGATGGGGAATTATATTCCCGGATTGAGAAGCAGCACACATCACTTGTGCAAAGCTCTTGATGAGCTTAGAGAATAGGATGTTCTGGAACATTGGCATGCTTTATTGCAGAGAGTATTTATTTATTTATTTATTTATTCAAGAAAGATGTATTCAGTACCTCCTGTATTCAGGCATCTCGCTAGATAGCAAAGGGAGATACAGAGATGAACGAGGCATGGTCCCTGTCTTCAGAAGGCTGATAGCCAGGGAGGAGGGGAGGAAATGAGCAAGTACAGTAGGAGATAGAAAGGAGGCAAAGGAGAGAGTAATTACTTCTAGCTTGGTGGGGCTGGGGTGTGGGGAGGCAGGAATCAGGAAGTGCTTTGTAGAAGAGGGGGCAGTTGAGCCATCTTAGGAAAGATATGTAGGGCAGGGATTGCAAACTCAGTTGCCTACAGGGACCAAGTAAGCTCAGAAACAAGAGAGCTCCTGCCCTGTCTAAAGGGGCTGTCTGTACCAGTTTTGGTGCAGGTAAATGCAGGTCCAGTATTGCCAGATCATTCCATCTTCAAGAGAAGCCACATTTTAGTTAGGATGTATTTTAACTATTAGTAACAAATACCCAATTAAGAGCAGTTCGTTGTCACACATGACAAGAAATCCAGAGGTAAGTGATTCCATGATATGTTCAGCAGATCTATAGTATCAGGGCTCCGGATTCTGTGTCTGCCCTTGTCACTACTTTCCCTCAAGATTGCAAAATGGCTGCCATAGCTCCAGACATCATGTTCTTATGAGACAACAGTGTTCAAGGCAGAAAGGGAAAGGATAGGGCAGAAAAGGTCATAGCCACTCATACTTTCCTCTCTTTTTATCAGGGCATTATTTTCATTTTGTTTCATTAGACAGAATTGGGTCACAGGCTTTAGAGGATACTTGCCAATTTTTCCGTCTTCCCAGTGCCTTTTTTTTTTTTTTTTTCTGAGACAGAGTCTCACTGTGTTGCCCAGGCTAGAGTGCCGTGGTGTCATCCTAGCTCACAGCAACCTCAAACTCCTGGGCTCAAGCGATCCT